AGGGATTCAGGAATTGGTACGGTGGTAACGGGGAAGGTGAATCCGATAAGCAAGTTTTGTTTTGCCATGGAGATTCGGGTGTTGGAAAAACCTACATCAGGTAACAAGGACAAACCCCGATAAACGGAGGGAAATCGACAAATACTAACAAGCCGCGAGGTTAGCTCGTTGGTGATAGACAGATTGTGTGATCGCGCTGAAGAGCAAAATACCGCCGTCGCATGTTTTTATTTCGACTTCGCCGCCCAACATGAGCAGTCCCCCGCAAGCGTGCTAGGCGCCCTATTGAAGCAACTGGTTTTCGGGCTCGAGGAGACCCCGGAGGAGATATCGGAAGCATACCAGGCCCAAGAAAGTGCCATCGGTGGACGGGGGCCGCAACTTTCTGATATTGTGAAGATGATTCAAACCACGTGCTCCAAAAAGCGGACATTCATTTGCATCGACGCTCTCGATGAATGTGCGGCTGAAAATCGAGACAAGATTCTCGATTCGCTCCATCAGATCCTCCAAGAAACTCCGGGTACTCGGATATTCGCCACCGGAAGACCGCAAGTCCAACCTAAAACCGGAAGCCGGCTTGCTGGGAGAGTAACCAGCGTATCCATAAGCCCAAAGAGTGATGATATAATTAGATATCTTCATACCAGGCTAAGCAAGGACACGAACTCAGACGCAATGGACAGCAGTCTGGAGGTAGACATCCTGACGAAAATCCCTCAAGACCTTTCTGAAATGTACGTATAAGAAACAACACTGGGGAATCTATCACAAGTCATCCACTAACGGATTCATATCTAGATTCCTACTCGTCTCACTGAACATCGATGCCATCCTACAAGAAACCACAATCCATCGCAGGCGACAAAAACTGAGCGCCATGACAGATGGGTCGGGATTGGGGGATGCTTATGGTGCAACACTGTGTCGGATAAAGGCGCAGGGTGGGGAGAAAGCGAGGCTTGGCATTGCCGCCTTGATGTGGATCTCGCACTCGGAGCGACCCCTGAAGCCGGAAGAACTGTGCAACGCCCTGGCAATGGAAATTGGGTCGCCGAATCTCAACCCCGACAATGTTCCTTCGATTGGGACATTGCTAGCCTGTTGTCAAGGATTCGTTGCCGTAGACAAGGAGGTTTCCACCGTCCGCTTAATCCACCTTACCCTTCACGAGTACCTCCGGGCTCGTCCCGAGCTCTTCGACACAGCTTACTCGACAATGGCCGAAACCTGCCTAAGCTATTTGAATTCCCGCCAGATCAAGGCTCTCTCTGCTAGCTCCTCTCCAAGTCTAGAAGGCACTCCCTTCCTCGAATATTCTTCTTTATTTTGGGGAGTCTACGCAAAAAGGGGCCCCTCAGACTGCGGGAAATCGCTTGCAATGAAGCTGTTCAATGATTACGATAACCACATATCCCCCAAAATTCTCCTACAATCGCAGAAACCATATTCTTACGGTGTTGACTTCACTAAACCTCTTGTGTTCAGTGGTCTGCACTGTGCATCCATGTTCGGGATCGTTGAGATTGTAGCTGATTTAGTGGAGGTGGAAGGTTGCGACATCAACCAAAAAGACTGCACAGGCAATACACCTCTCATGTGGGCTGCGAGGAGCGGGCATGAGGAAGTGGTAAAAATACTGCTCGCACGGGATGACACGGAACCCGACAAGCCAGACAATGGCGGCTGGAGACTGCTCGCACGGGATGACATCGACCCCGACAAGCCGAGTAAGTACGGCTGGACACCACTCCATTTTGCTGCCCGGGGTGGGCACGAGGAAATAGTGAAAATACTACTCGCACGGGATGACGTCCATCCCGACAAACCAGATAACCGCGGTTGGACACCACTCCATTGTGCTGTATGGAAAGGGCACGAGAGAACTGTTATAACACTACTCGCACGGGGTGATGTCGACCCCAATACGCAAGAAAACAGCAAGGGCCAGTCACCACTCTATTCTGCTGTATTGAATGGACACGAGGAAATAGTGAAAATGCTACTCGCACGGGAT